AAAACCCCCCACCCCCCAATCGGGCCTGGCAGCACGCCACTGACTTCAAGTGTGTGCGTGTGCATGCTTGCGTGTGAGGATCAGTGTGTGTGCGGCCGTGGCCGCCAGAGTCTCTGAGAATATGAGAGGACTGGTGCATGTGTCTGAGTGTGTTTGTGTATGCATGTGTGTGCGTGCGTGCTGAGGCTCCATGGGGGTGAGGGGGACTCCTAGTATTTCTTCCCCGGGACAAACTCCTTTGCTTCAGGATTCAAGATGCTCTTCCTCTGCAGAGAGAAGGAAACAGAATAAAATTACTCATTTTATCAAGAACCGACAAAGTGAGCGGAGCGCAATCAGACGCATCTGACTCACCGCCACTTCCTCCAGGTTGTTGTGGTGATCGCTGACCGACAGGCCGTTGAGCTGCTGCTGCAGCTGCCCCACCCCCTGGTTGTTGAGGTCGCGCGAAGGGATGAACCAATCCTGGTCCTCCTCCTCCAACATCTCCTGGAAGCAGCGCTCCAAGAATTCCTGCTCCAACAGCTCCTCCTCTACCTGCAAGACAATGACACAGGAAAGGAAATGATAAATAATAAGATAAGCAGTAAAGGCGTGGAAACGTTCAGACGTTGCAAATTCACGCTTAAGTCACAAGCTGACAAAAATGCTCAACTCTCGGTAAGAAACCTTGTATCTGATGCGGCATAGGCATCAGAGTTCATTAGTGGCAGGGGAGAGGGGTACGAGTCTGCCAAGAATTAACCATTAAATTAATCTTTAATAACTGTTTTTATTAGCATATCATCCAAAAACATTGTTTTTCAAGTACTGTTGACAAATAAATGAGCACTAAATCCACCTGTTCTCAGGTGAGCCTCTCATCCTGAGGGTGAATAAAGCATTATGTTATCTCAACAGCAACTTCACCAGCAGCTCAGGGCAGAATCAAACTTTCAAATTAAGAGTGGAGGGATTGCAGGATGGTGAGGTTTAAAAACGAAAAAAAAAAAAAAACCCAAAAAAACAACAACAACAAAACAGGATGGACTGAAAAGAAGAAGAAGAAAAAAAGTGAGTTGGACCTTCAGGAGTTCAAGTATCCGTTTTTGTCACATGTACCTGTCTGTTATACTCCTCCTCATTCTCCATCCACATGTATTCAGCAAACGGGTTGGCGTCATTGTTTTCTCCCGCATGGCCATTGGCAACCGGCTCTTTCCCTTCCTTTTCTGGAGCTCCGCCTCCTGGTGTCTTAGCCACCTCTGGACCGCTCATCTCAGCTGGCTCTGTGTGAAACAAGAAGGCACAGGTGTGACTGTCAGGGTTTTAATAGTTTTGCAATTTTCATTAGTTTTTATTTTTATTTCGTTTTGACTTCAGATTTTCAATTTTATATTAGTTTTAATTAGTTTTTACCAATTGTTTGCTAGTTTAGTTTTTATTTTTTTGAAAATGATTAGTTTCAGTTATAGTTTTAGTTGCGTTTGCAATAATTAAGTGTAACAAAATCCCAGTTTCATCACATCAGTCATGCTCTTCTGCTTATCCTTGGGTATCCAGCTACCATACCCTGCACCCTGGACAGGTCGCCTGTCTGTCGCAGGGCTAACACGCAGAGACAGACAACTCACATTCCCACCTACGGGTTAATTAATTAAATAAATAAATAAATAAATAAATAAATGAATGAATGAATGAATGAATGAATGAATGAATGAATGAATGAATGAATGCAGATGAACAACCATAGATACCAGGCAACTATAAAATGTATATCTTGGCCCCAATGAGACTATTAACTCTTGCAGCACCAGGTGTTAAGGCAATTGACTCCCACAGTTATGTAGATATCCCAGTCCTGTTGTCTCGGGATGCATCACGCTGCCTTGCCTGGGGTTAGCTTCTGTTTCTGGGGATGAGGGTTGAGTGTGCTCCCTTCTCAAGGTAAGCTAGGTTAGCCTTCTTGTGCGAGCTTTTCAAGCGCACTTTAAGGTTTGTGGGATTTTTTTTCCCTTTAGAAATGTCCCTCATAATTTGTCTCTTTCCACTACAAGACACTTGCTTTATCCAAGACACAGTCATATTCAAAGTAATCCCAAATTGGACTCTGGTGCTTTCTCCCGACTTTTCCTGACATGATTCTGCGCATGGACGGAGCAGCGACACAGACGAGTCGACTAACGTACTGCCACCTGCTGGCATAATGAGACACAGCAAGAAAAAAAAATCTGGAAACGAAACTTCTTTTTCCACCCTTGACTATTGTATGACACGCACACATCTACGAAAACTAAACACATTTTTGCTATAAATTCAGTTAATTTTAGTTAGTTTTGTGAACACTCATTACAGTTTTAGTTAGTTTTGTGAACACTCATTACAGTTTTAGTTAGTTTTCCTTTTTTTGTTTTTATTTTTATTTCCGTTAACGAAAATGTTTTTTCACTTCTAGTTTTCGTTAACAATAATAACCTTGGTGACTGTCAGCGAACAGTCTGGATCATCCTGCTACAGTATGCACGCAATCAGACAACCGAAGAGCAAAGCTGCGCAACTCCCGTTCACTAGCCCACAGCTGGGTCTCATTCTTGTTAGTTTACATTATCATATTTAAAATCAAGGCTCCATTATTTAAGCCTGGGATTCCAAATCGAATTGACCATCAGCATCTCAATCAGCATTGTCGGAGCAGTTTTCCAGCTGTAACTAGAGACCCTCTGCTTATAAAGGAGGAAAAGACAAAAAAAAAAAAAAAAAGCCATTGAACAGTAATTCTGCATCTCTCATGTTATGAGTAGGAAACAGACTGAAAGGCAACACCTGCCTGGACTAATCCTACTCGGTGATGTCTAAAACATCCTTCTGCAACACCCAAATGAGCCTGAAGACTTAATAGAGTCTTTGACATTTTATGACGTTGATCAATAGTTATTTTCCAGGTGGGTGAATTACAGCACTGCAGTGAAAGGCCACACACACACACACACACACACACACACACACACACACACACTTTTAAATCAGGTTTGTTTAGACCAATGAAAGAGAAAATAGAACTAAATGTTAAAGTCAATCCTATTTCCCCACCAAATACAGCTGTTCACCAAAACGTCTAGCCACATAGGGTTTACATCTAAAGTTTGAAACTCAATGTTACTTAAAAAAAAAAAAAAAAAAAAAAGTTAAACACTGAGACATGAAGCAGAGTACTCAGCTGTGTGCCAACATGTAATCCTTACTCAGAGATGCTGATGCATGTTTTTTAACTTCGCAGTAATGTGAGGAGACTAAACTATCATT